TGTGGTGCACTCAAAAGGAGTGGCGACGGGCTTGGACGTTGACATGTCAAAGCGATCAAGTACTGTAGAACAGTAACGAGATTGGTGAATGAACAGAGTTCGTTTGGAACGGTGACGGACGATTTCCCAGCCGAGAATATCTCGAACAGGACCTAAGTCCTTCATCTGGAAGCGTAGTGATAGTGACTCCTTGAGAGCAGCAGCAAGAGCTTTGGTAGGAGTAATGATCAAAAGATCGTCGACATAGAGACTAACGATGGTAAAACCATCATCTCGGGCTTTGAGAAAGACGCAGCGGTCTTTGAAAGCGGGCAAAGCCCAAGGAAGCCATGTAAGTGACAAAAGTCCAGTACCATAGGTGAGGGGCTTGTTTGAGTCCATAAAGACTCTTTTGAAGCAGGCAGACATAGTCGCGCCTAGAGGCAGGGTCAATGAGTGAGCCAGGAGGCTGCTCCATGCGTATAACGCAGTCGATTTTGCCATTTAAAAAGGCGGTTTTGACGTCCATTTGTTCGCATTCCAAATCTTGGATGGCCACTAAGGCAAATAGGAAGCGTAGGACTTCAAGTCGAACAACAGGAGCAAAAATGTCCGTGTAGTCGATGTCTTTTTGTTGCATGAACCCTTTGACGACAAGTCGGGCCTTGTAAGTGCCATCGGCTTTGAGTCGAAAGACCCAGCGACACGGTAGAACCGTCTCGTCGTTACGACGTTTGACCAGCACATATGTGCCGTTAGAGAGTAAAGACTCGTATTCGGACTTGGCGGCTAGAAGCCATTTGTCACGGTCGGGGCGGGACATGGCATCACGCCAGTCTTTGGGATCGTTGTTGTTGGCACGGTCGGCAAGCAAAGCATAGACAAACAATGGTTCCATAGGAGCCAAAGTAGGAGCAGAGCTCGCAAGTAGTAAGACACTTGACGGCGTAAGCACGAGTGCATGGTGCATGTGGTTGTGGTAGGTGTCAAGTGACTCCAAAGGAGCTGTGTCCATGAGGAGGCAACTTGAATAATGACTAATAAAGTCAAGTGTTGTTTTGGCCATTGATGGCTTAGCCGACAAGGCTGTTGATTGATGGGCCGAAAAGGCAGACTGGTTGCGACCATAGGATCGTC